TTGGACAGCAAAGCTCTTCAAATAAAGGACAGTCCTCTGGTAGCTATTTAAACAAAGGCCTGTAAAAGATAACACATGACTAACCTGGCTCCACCTTGATTTAAATTAAGCCTTCCAGAGTCCACCCTTAGTCTGATCTGAGAATACATAAATTACAGTGTACAGATTTTAAAGTTTTCTCTGTAACAGTAGGGACTAGAAACTTGGCTTTTAAAAAGTGAAAGCTGGGATTCTTAAGGTGTTCTATTTTCCAGCAGGCAGCAGCAGTTCTGTGGATGGATAGAAAAGAAATGCACACCGCCCCATTCTGACCTTCAAACTCAACTGCTGGACTCAAGCCCTCGGAAGTGCTAGGCTCCTTGCTAGATGCCGACTGCCAGAAGTGGCGCGTGCCCTTCTGCTGGCATGATCTGTCAAAAGCCCCCTGTGCTCAGCGGTCCAGCCGGGATTGCCTTTGATAGTCAAAGTGCCTGGGCTTGGATTTGGGCCATGTCAGAGAACGGCTTGTTCCTCGGATGCAGGAACTCGCGAAGACAGCAGCAAAAACGCGAGTGACAGCTTGAGATGCTTCCTACTCTCGTGGCTGGGCTACGGCAGCAGGGGAAGGATCTTGCCAAGAGGAAGAAGGGCTGGCTAGCCCCAGATTACCCGCAACTGCCAGCCCCCAGCAAGGATGGACCTCAAAACCAGCTCTGAATTTTGTGGGGCTGAATGTTGCAGAAAAGCCAAGTTCATGCTGAGGAGGCGACGTTCAGTAAAGGAAAGTTGGACCACACTGGTATATTATCAGGGTTGTTTGAAACCTGTTCTAGTGGAGACTGAATTAGATCAGCCTCATATTTCTGGTATCTCGGGGACCCTTCTGGGTCAGGACTGCAGAACGTCTTCAGTCTGCGGGCCGAATTCTATTTGGGAGAAGCTTTGGGGAGGGGCATATTCTGGTGGTGGGCATGGCTGAAGGCGAAAGGAGGCGGGGCAGGAAGGCAAGCCCTGGCATATTCTAGCCAGTAACAAAACCTTGGGAGACACATTTCAGTTTTTTAGATTGAGGGAAAAGCTGCACGAAAGCTGAGAAGCTCCCAAACAAGCCGTGTCTGGGACAAAGGCGGTGAGGCTTGGGATGTGGCCCCACATTCTATGTGAAAAAAAAAGATTAAAATACTGCTAGTAGACCCACTGAAATCAAGGGGAGTTGATTCCAAAATTCATATCAGTATAATAACTTTTTTTTAGGCCAACAAAAAGATCATCAAAAATGTGCCTGATATTTCCAGTTTTCTTCATCAGACAATTTTGGGAGTGGAAGATGCAGGAGAACGCGAAGTTGCAACGTTTGCTTGTTCAGATTCCCAAGATGAAATGGGAGATGGCTTAAGTGAGAAATGACCTGTTCCACTGATTTCAGTGGGTTTTCCCTAAGCATGACTAAGTCTGTATTCAACCCAATGTTCTTAGTGTAGTTCTTTAAGAACCTGGGTAAAATTTAAGTCATCATTGAGTTCCACGAGCTCACTTTTGTCTTTGTGCTGGTATGCTATTTATGAGAAATTTCAGATGGGTCCATAGGGACCTTTATAAAATAGGAAGAAGTGGGCTGTATAACATGAAAAGAATTGATAAGGATTGAACATGGACAGAGGCAGTGGACTGTAAATCAGCGGGGTTAGATCCACACTATATTAATTGTACTGTCTACTGAAATTAATGGAATTTAAATCATGGCTGTTTGGTCATGGTTTTGCCTACAATGCAATTATATGTATGCCAATTTGAGAATAAGCCCCTTTTAGTTCAATACAGTTTACACCCACATAAATGTGTAAAAGATTGTCGCATTAGTATGGCTTCAGTCCACTCCTTGTTGAGAAATAATCACAGGAATTTTGGGTTTGCAAGGAGCATGTCGGAAGGAAATGATCTGCAGGATCCATGTGAATCTGTGTAACAGAAATCCTAAAATATCAGCTATGTACAATTACGGGAAAGCTGATGCCTTCAGACAGCTATCCTTGGATCCCACTGAAATCAGTGGCGTTAGTTGACTGTGATTTATATTCCAGTGATTTCAGTGGGGATGATAGGCAGCAATCATGCAGCACAATCAAATGCATGTCTACTCAGAAGCAAGCCCCCTAGATAAATGGCAGAGGCTTGCAGTCAGCTGCACTGCAACCTGGTCTGCAGAGATGAGGATATTCGCTATTCTCTTTGGAATCATAGGCTGTGCTTTTATAACTGTTTGTCACTGCATGGATTCTACTGCCAAATTATATCTAAGTGGAATAATAGCCCTATGAGGTTAAAGAAGATTACAGGAATAAGGATAAGATATATGATGAAAAGGTTGTGGAATAAAAGGGAGATACCTTCAGGTTATAGAAGAAAGGGAAGGCAAATTCATATGTAGTGGAAATGTGCATGTATATGTCAGGCAGATCTCTAATGGATTATTCATATCATGATAAGTTATAATCACCCAGATACTTCAAAGGGTCTGTTATGAGAGAATATTCAAGATTATGTAAAGGAGGAAAATTAAGGCCTAATTCAATATGTATTGGTTGCAGCTGAAACATGATTTGCAAAACTCTAGGAAGCTATGAAAATCCCCAAGGTAAGACTAGGTTGCTGAGACTTTGGGATATTTTAAAGGCTTTGGGATATTTTAAAGCAAGATGTTATTTTAAAGAAGATAATCAGAGTTCCTGCAGATGTTTTCATTTAAAAAATGGCATCTGCTTAATTTTCCTTTGCAAAGAACATGGTCTAAGATTTGACTTTCTCATAGATATGCTGGATGTGAAAATAACATTTAGATTGCTGCAGGAAAAATAATCTTAATTTCTTAATATACAGAATCCATACTCTAGGAAACCTGTAATATCTCTTCCCTCCCCCCCTCCCCCAGTTAGCTAGTACTTGTATATAAAATGGTCCTTGAAAGGACCACCCTTTTGTTCTTTGCAAGTTGAAACAGAGAGGCAAGACATGAGATTCCTCATCCTGGCTGAGACAAAACACCATAAAGAAATCCAGGCAAAACGGAGACAGATGCCGCCTTTCATTTGTCCTTACTGGTATCTGGCAACTGGGGACAACCTGCCCATGGATACAGAGGCTTCGAGACTGGCTGCCTGATAGGTACAGGTAGATCTCTACGTATTTATTCAGATGCCCATCTATGCCAGTGGCTGTTGCAGCCTTCTCCAAGATGGTGCCCTCCGGTTGTCTTGGATTCCAACTTTCATCAGCCCCAGCCAAGCTCCCCTGCCCTTTGTTTCTGCCTTACGTCTTTTTTCATCTTATACCACACCCCTTCTTGCTTGCTTGTGCGCTCCCTCACTCCCTCTGTGTGTGTTTGTGCGCTCTTCAGATGCATCTGCTGTAATCTACCAATACATCCTTTCCAGGGATTGGTGCCCTTAGATAATTGCAGAGGCCCTGACTTCATGTTTTTTTGGGGACCCTCCCCCTTCAGGTGGCCACCTGTATTGACTCATTTGCTTCAAATGCACCACCTCTGTTCACATGGGCATGCATTTTACTTCAGTTATTTTGAAACAGGGTCACTACCCCTGCTGCTTTCGAGGGCCCCCTTGCTCATTCTGCCGAGTGGGGTGCTGGACATCTGCCCTGATGGCACCTCTGCTCTACAGCTTACCTCCTGACAGGGCATAATCGTAGTCCTGGAATCTCTTCCCCGACCCTGCCCATAGCTGCATGACAGCCTGAGCAACTGCACTTTGGAGCCCACACTGCCAATAGTCGCAACCTGTTCCTATGGCCTTGGACTTGGAAGGGAAGGCTCCTGGTATCATTTGTGAGTTTCCCTTCCCTGCTCTTGCCCGTGGTTTTGTGAGTTTCCTTTCCCTGCTCTTGCCCGTGGTTTGCTTCTGACCCAGACAGCCACGAGTGGCCTTTAGCACCCATCGCCTGCTGTGAAGGAGGAAGAGTGCGATCAATCTTCTTTCACCAACAGGTGACCGGTGGAGTCAAAGCCAATGCACTGGCCATTTATTTCAGTGTATGTGGCAGGCAAGGTTGCTTAGTGGTTTCAAAAGGCCCTTTCAATAAGCATCAAGGGATTGTTTTATTTAGTTTGATTTTCTGTGTCCCAGGACTGACACTGAAAATGTTTTAGATTTGAACCCCCACTCAGATTAAGTGACATAAGCCAAAACATATTGTGTGGTACAGGAGTATGTTTCCTTCTCAAACCCCTAAACAAAATTCTCTAGGTGACTTACAAGAACCCTAATGTGCTTGTGAAAATTCAAGTGATACACGTTTTCACTGGTGTTTTCCCCAACTTCTCTTATTCTGAATGTTTATTTATTTTTATTTGTGTGTGTGTTTATTTTAAGGAAAAGAAGGTATAAGAATACTAAATTCCATAACAGTTACAAGGTGATCCTAGATATTATGACTTGAGACAAAATCCTATTGAAAGCAGGGCTTACTCTGAAGAAGTTGTAAGGATTGTAGAGCAAGTATGCGTCAGATATCTGTATTCTCTATTGTACATGCACACATACTGATAAATGTAAATATTAATAAAATCAAGTATAGAAAAGCAAAGCCTGAAGATTTGTGCAAAAGTTTTAACATACAGCTGGGAGTGTACATTTCAGTAGCAATGAAAACTCGCCTTGGCGTCTGTGCCACAGACTCTCCACCCTCTGCACCCATCATCACTGGAACATCTGCTTGTTCCGTTCAAAGCTTAATATGTACCATTTATGTAGCTGCTTTCATTTGTAAAGGAGTTTATCTTTATTGAGCTTGTCCTCACAATAACCTCATGATGCAGTTCTTACTTTTCCGAGAATGGGACTGAGAGACTTCTGCAAGGCCACACAGACGGGGGCCCAAGCCAGAGGCTGGGCTGGGCGTTGAACCTAGGCCTCCCTGACTGTCAAATGTAGCTCGCCACCACTGGCTTGCCGGTGGCAAGCGTCCCCACATCGTGCAGCCTGGGTCACCTGAACCCTTCCACTCACCTTAATGAGTTTGCAACGGATCTGAGCCGAGACCATGTGGCTGTTGCGTAGATTGCCCACCCGGAACATGAGGCAGAGCTTCCCGTCCCGCTGCGAGATGACAGCGGCACGGCTGAACATGAGGGTCTCGGCGCGCTTCTTGGGCTGCGACATCTTGATGAACATGCATCCTATCAGGAAGGCGTCCACCACTGAGCCCAGCAAGGACTGGAACAGGAAAAGCACAATGCCCTCTGGGCAGCGCTCGGTGATGTAGCGGTGCCCGTAGCCAATGGTGGCCTCTGTTTCGATGAAGAAGAGGAACGCTGAGGGGAAGTTGTAGACGTTGGCCACACAGGGGCTGTGGCCTTGATTGGCACTGTGGGGCATCTCCAGGTCGCCGCGCAGGTAAGCGATCCCCCACCACATGGAGGCCATGACCAGCCAGGCAACGGTGTAGGTCAGCAAGAAGATGAGCAGGTTCCAGCGCCACTTTAGGTCCACCAAGGTGGTGAAGAGGTCTGAGATGTAGCGGCTGTTCTCACTGCCCAGATTGCCGTGCTGGACGTTGCAGCGCCCGTTCTTGTCCACAAAGCGCTGGCGCTTCCGCCGGGCCGCCGGGCCGCCCACTACGGCCTGGTAGTCATCACCAAACTTCCTTCGCACCACTGACATCTTGGTGAGCAGGGAGGGCTTGCCTGGATGGCCAATGGATTCCTCTACTGCACTGCTGACTTGGAGCAATAAGCCAAATGGGCAGATCCCCTTCTGTGCTCAGACCTGGACGATGTCTTTCGTCTGCCAGGGGGCGGAGCAGTGGGGGACTTGCTAGTTCATCGCGACTGACGCTCAGCAGGCGAGACTGGCTGGCTGTTCCTCATCTGTTGACCACAGGCCAAGGCTGGAGGTGTAAAGCTGAATCCACTTACCTTGAGCTTCTTTGGGCATTGGCGCCCATGTCCTGGAGCTCTGGTTTGCCTTTCCTAGGCATGAAGGTGGCACAGACTGGTCTCCAGTGGTCAGATACTGTATTTCTTTCCTTTCCTTCTGGGTCTGAACCAACAAGGAATGGACTCAGCTGAGGGGCCTCTTATGTATGCTGGTGGGGGCTTCCGCCGCTGGGCTGCCCAGGCAGGGCAAATGCCGGGCTTAGTGGGGGTGTAACCCTGTTTGCACTCTGAGCTGCTGCTGGCTTGCAAAGGAAGGTGGGTGGCTTCCTCTTGAATGCCAAGGATTGCTGCCTGTAAAACACAGACTGGGTTCCTGTCGTGCCCACGATGGGCACCCCGAGTGCCGGCCTCAAGGAGCCGATGCTCCGTCTGCAGGCTCTTGCCTGGAGCTGGAGACAGACCGATGCTCCCGAGAGCTGGCGCTGAGAGGAACAGGCAGGACTGGATCGGCGTGTCAGCGATGCCTCTCTGAACCGGCTTGGGAGCGCACGGTGCCAACTCGGGTCCCTGCCGGCTGTGTCCACGGAGTCAGCGCCGGAGCGGCTCCCTCGCCGTCCTCCTCCTCTACGAAGCCAGCCCCTGCCCGCAAAAGGCGCAGAGTGCCCGCGCTCGGCGGGGCTGCCCAAGGGCTCCGGGGCTTTCGGGAAGGGACGCAGGCTCTGGCGCGGTGCGGAGCGGAGCGTCGGCGCAACTCTTCGCGGCGAGGGACGCGCCGGGGGAGGCGCCTCGCTCTCTTTCGCGCGGTGGGCGCGCAGCTCCGCGCCGCCCGCCCGGGTCCCGCGGGTTCGGGCTGCCTCGGCGCCGGGGAACGAAGAGAGACGGAAAACGAGCAGCTCCGGGTGAAACCTCCCTTTCTTCCCCTCGCGTCCTTTCCTTCCTTTTCTCCTCCTCCAATCCCTTTCCCAGCGCGCTTGGATTAGTCGGCGCAGAAAACTTAACCTCTTCGGTCCTCTCTAGCGCAGCTAGTTGCGACTTCGGCGACGAGGGGCAAGCAGGCTAACAGTTCGCAGGCAGCCGCTGAAGAAGTCTCAGAATCCGGGCGAGCGCGCAGGAAGGCAAAGTGGAGCGGAGCAGCAGGGCTGCGCAGCGCCGCCTTGCGGCCGCCGTCCCCCTCGCCACGCCATTCCTCTTCTGCCCTGCGCTTCGGGCGCTTCTCCGCGCAACGATCGTGCCTCTCTCCCCGTCCTGGACAGTCTCGCCCTCCCTCCTTTTCCTTCTTCTTGGCGAGTGTCCGGATCGCTCCAGCGGTTTCCAGCTGGGCTTTGCATGTGCGCGTACGTGTGTGTGTGTGTGTGTGTGTGGTGTGTGTGCGTGCATGCGTGGGGGACGGATGCCCTCCGCCCGATCCGCCGCCCACTGCCAGCCTCATCTGCTGCAGGGATCCCTTGGCGCTAGCAGAACGCGGGAGGCGAACCCGTCGAGCCTCGGTGAGTCACGAGAGCCCGAGACACACAGTGGCTTGAGCCTCAAGGAAGGGAGCGATGGGGAAGCGGGGGGAATTCGAATTAGGGACCCCCACAGCAGATAGGCTGGTGTATGTGTGTAGCCGGGTGCGGGGGCGGGAGAGAAGCAGAATCTTCCCCTGCTGATTTGGTGCTTAAAAGAAATCCGAAAGAGCCTCTCTGAAGGAGCAGGATTCGTAGAAGAGAGATGGAAGTATTGCAGCTGGACAGCAGCTCATCTTAATCCAACCCGAGGGCTAACACTCCCAGTAGCAAGACGCGCTTTGAGCGTGAGCAAAGTGCCTTTCCCTTCTCACCCGTCAGTGCATCAGACGAGCCCTCCAGGTGCGTCCAGCAGGGTATATATGGAGGGCACAACTCTTTACCCACCACATCGCTGAAACTGAGCAGACACCTGTTTGGTCAGTCCCTGGATAGGCCACCACAGCCAGCCAGCTGATGGAGCCCCTTGGTGGAAGAATGGCTTGATCATAATAAATGCACTAACATTAATAAAATAATAACCCTGCTTCTTGTACCCAACGGTGGTCCTCTGGAAGCTATTCCCAGAAGGCAGAGGACCCTCCCCTATTGTTTTTGTTCTGCCAACTTCCATTCAAAGGTGTACTGCTACTGAGCATGGAGGTGCTAGTTAGCCATCTTCCTCAGTAGCCATTCTGATAGATTTCTTTTCCTTGAACTGTCAATCAACTCCTCTCCATTTTAATTGAGCAATCATCACATCCCAAAGTAGTGAGTTCTTCAAGTTAATGACACAATGCGTGAAGAAGTAGTTCCTTCAACCGTACAGGGCCAGGCTTCTAGAGAGACTGAACTCTGGTGTAAGACAAGACACTTTCCTTCTTTCAAGTCTTTTGTTATTTCCCTGAATAGCCCAAGTAAAGAGATTAGCCACTGATTTTTATGAAGACTGTGACAACGTGGAAGAAATGTTACAATGCTGTTATTTCCTCAGACTACTGAGCCCATCTGGCCTTTACAGAATATTACAATATAACATTTTATTATGTTAATTGTTGGGGCAGGGTCTTAACTGTGCTGGTCCCCTTAAACACTTTTTTTTCTCTTTGGTGTTGATCCATGAGAGTGGGCTAGTGCTTTATGGAACATGACCCTGCCCTGACCCGGAGGTCTGTTCTCTGTATGGAATTGTATGCAACTTTTGGAGGTAAATTAAAGCATGTTTTTGCAAATGCATTTTCCCAATCTCATCAAGTTAACTTGAATGCAGGAATTGGCTCTGAAAGGTGGAATTAGCTGACTGCAAGGGATTTTTATCCTTCAAGCACCCACTAATTCTTCCTTGCCAATTCCCTTCCCTCAAGGGAAGTTCATCTCAGCTGATGCTCTGGTTTGGGATCCTGTCTAGTGGGAAGAGGGGGAAAATTCTGGGCAGGCATTTACAGGGAAGAATCAGGAAGATTTACAAGGGTTTTCAGAGGAGAATAACTGGGGATGGACTGTGAATGTGGGGTAAGTATTTGCTGGGGAGAAGCAGCAGGGTCAAAGGGTCGATGGAGCCTTTGCAGGGGACGCGCCACTGGGATGGATGCAGTCAAGCATTAGCAGGGGGGAATAATTGTGTACAGGAGGTTAGACATTTTCTGAAGGAAGCCAGCAGGAATGGGATGAATTGATCATTCAAAGGGGATGATCACCAGAGCAAAGGTGGGGGGGGGGTGGTTAAGTGTCCCACTCCTTTTGGCTGGTTCTTCTCTGCAGGTTAGTAATCCTGAGCTTTCCTGGTAAGATGCCTTCTTGCCCTTAAGGCCAACATTTATGGAACCAGGACTGGGTTTGATAAACGAAGTGTGAACTATTAGCATAAATTACTTCCAAATGTCAGGAGTTCATTTCACTTTCATGCATTCACCTTGATCCAGGGAATTTAAATTGCTTTAACTGTTTTAAACAGGAGAGCAGCTCATAAGTGTTACGGCTAATGGAACAGCAGGTTGACCCTGCTATGTCTGTTTTAGTTTCTTAGCTCACTGGTTTCCCTACACCACAGCCAGTGTAGGAAATTTTTGTGCCATGAGACACGTTCACCCCATACCATGCGTGTGGCTATAAACAGTGTCTGTGACCACCACATACACAACCACCAAGCATGTGAAATATCTCTGCTTTGTTGTGCCTTCAGTTTTGCACTGAAAAAAAGGCAACCCAACTATTTCTGCATCTAAGCTTGTACAATCTGATCTGAATTAATAATATACAACATACCACTGCCTTTGGCCATCCCTACTTGCCTCCAAAATGTATTATTTTTCTTGTTTGCCAGCAGGGGGGTCCCAGGGGTGTGGAATGAGCCCAGATTCCCAATGACTGTTTTCAATCTAATTTCTTTGCAAATCAAGCGACTTCCTCTCTGGAGGAAATGTGAATGGCAAGGGCTCCGATGAATGGCAAACCTGTGCATGCTGAGATCTGAGCCTGTCTCTCATCAGTTCTCTGACTGCCTTGCCATTCTGGGGCTCACGTACCTTTGTGGAGTGCTTAATTTGAGCTCCACTACTGCAGGAGCCTGTGTGGCACAGAAGTTAGACAAAGGAGATGCACATAGTGTTGGAAGAAAACTACACTATGGCTCCCACCTACAATCTCCTTTGTGTTCTTCAGTGTGCTCAATTATCCTGCCCCAAATAATGTTGGTTTCCAAATCAACCAAAATACTGGATTGGATGCTGTTGAAAGGTTTGACAGCTCATGCTTACCTCTGCCTCCATTTTCCCTCCACCACATTCTTTCAAGAGAGCATTTTCCTTTCCTGTCATCACCTTTTTCTTATCCGCCCCTTTGCACTCCTGTTCTGCTTTGCATCAGTTTTTTCTGGCCCTAGTTTCTAGAAAGCTGGTAGCCCTCAAGTTTGCTTCTTTGGATTCTTTTCCTCTGCGATTGCCCAGGCCTGGGCATTGAGTTTGCCCTGTTCTATCAAGCAAAAATCCATCATAGCAGCTACTGTACAATTAATGCTCCCCACATACACAATGATTGTGCATAAATATAGGATGAAATACTGAGCAATGAAAGTCAGGTTAACGCAGCACTCAAAAACACAACAGCTCAAGGACCTGGGTTGATAAAAATCGTTGCTGCCTGGGTTTGTGTGCAGGTACCAGGATAGCATTCCTGGAACCCAGGTCCAAGGTCAGGGTGCCACAACCAGGAAGGCCCTCTCCCGATCTGCCTAACTTGGCCGAAGGGCATCTGAATGTGATCATAATAGCCACATATGGCAGGAAGCAGCCTTTGACATACTCTGTTCCCAAGCCGTTGAGTGCTTCAGAGTTAACAGCTGGCATCTTGAATCCTCCCTGCACTGGGAAAAAAGTGGGAAACAGGGAGCAGGGGCTGGCTGGCTTTGGGAACCACCATTTTAATGTCTCACACTCCCTCAGAACCACGCCGTGTTGGGGAACTGAAAAGCCGGTTTGCTGCTCAGCCCTGATAGGCATCAGGAGACCCACTAAAGTAGGAGGACCACCCTAGAGGGCACTTTGCCAGCCCCTGTGGTGGAGAGACTTCCCATATATCCAGACTTTGGCTCTGTGTGCCTGCTTTGCATCTGTTACCTCGAAGGAGGGACACGTCAGACCTGGGGGACAAGTGCACCCTTTTGCAGTTCTAGGGAGTCCTCTTGTGCTCCTTGGAATACCTTTGGTCTTGTCCCATTTCTTTTCCTTCAGCCACAAATCCTTTGGAGTTTCCTTGGTTCCTGTCCAGCCTTCCCATCCCATTCCAAAAGGCTGATAAACCTCTCCTAGGGCTTGGTTACTGGCACGAAGTGATTCGTGCTCCAACCTGGTGGTATTTCTGTATGCTTTTTGTGTTTTAGCACCATGCCTTTTGCCAGCGTCGTTGCCCCCTTGCCCCAACCACCACTGAAATGTAGTCCCAAGAGCCCCTCCGAATTGGGATTCAGCCCATGGGCAGAAAGAGGTTTCCTACCCTTCCACATATGGATGATGCTTGGAGAGAGGAAGTCTGAATGGTAGACTGCAGGGGGAATTTGGCGCATCTGAGAGACTTGCTTTGAAGTCCTTCTGTGACCCCCCCCCCCCCCCCGCCACTTGGCGGTCTTCCCCACTGGGGGATTTGAGCTGTTGATATTCCATTTCGCTTCAGAACATTCTCCATTCCTTCATGTAATTGGCAGCTTGGCTGTTATCTCTGGCATGCAAGTTAACATTAGGATAACAAAAGAGTCAACAGCCTCTGCTTTTGTAAGGAAGCCCTGAGCAACTGGGCACAGAGGTGGGGTTTGGTCTAGCAGCCGCAATGGAAACTCGTGGCTGAGCTTTAACAAGGCTCTGCTCTCTTTATCTCTGAACTGTTGCTTGTCAAGCCCGGAGCTGCTGAATGGAAAATGTTTCCCCTCTCTTGAAGTGAACGTGCTGCCCATCTAAAGCAGAATGAATCACAACAAAGGTGGTAGGTGTGGGGGGCGATAGAACAAAGGTGGAGAACATTTTCCATGTGGAATTTACAGCCCCCAAAATGACAAACTGTGCAAAGTCCGGAAGTTAGCCATTGAATCTATAGCAGCTAAAAGGACAAAGCATCCTGTGGCGCCTGAAAGACTAACGCATTTATTCTGGCAGAAGCTTTCATCCACTTCATTGGGTTAACAAGTATTATGGAGTGCTTTGGGTTTATATTCAGTGCATGTGGTCTTGGTGTTAGTGGGAAGAATGGTAAACAGTGCAATCAGAAGGAAATTCAATTCAGAAAGTACAGTGACAATTGCATTATTAGCCATGGTTATTCCTGGTACAACTTTTCTAAAAACACAACCAACCTGGCACCAGGTAAGCCAATTAACAGATGTAGTATGATAAGAAATCCTTTATCCTAATTCAAGCCCCCTAGCAATAGAATTAAACCTCTTCATGAATTCTAATTTCTCTTCCCCAGTTTCCATCAGAAATTTATTTGTTCCAGATTGGCTACTTTAAGGTCAGTGACAAATACTGAGTTCAGAAAACAGAATAAGCTCCACTTAAGGGTTGAGTGTGGGTTGAATGTGGGTTCTCACTGAAGTTTGACTTGTTGTTGAAATGTGGGTTATCTTGTCCGAAGACAGCTGTGCAAACGAGCCATGGTTTGTTGACTATGAGAAACCCATGAAAAGAACCCATTTTTGTTGGGTTGTAAACTGTGGCTTATTCACCATGGATAGTTTCCTTGGCTGGCTGGGACAACAGGATCTCAAGAATCTTGAGATGTTGAGTTGAAAAGAACTAAGAGGCTATCTAATCTAGCCTCTTGCACAAAGGCATAGCAGGATCTGCCTACACAATTTACATTGGGGAGGTCCTTATATACCCTTTGAATTTTTTGACACCCCCCCATCAACTTGCCAGATTAAGTGTTGTCATTTCACGGTTGAAATAATTTCATTTTGACACAATCGTTCCGTGATGTTTCTTGGAATGAGAAATTAATCTCCACCTGGTTCCAAACAGAACTACAGATTAATGTTCTAAAATGGAATTTTATATTCTGAAAGTCATTACCTTCTGCTTGATCATAGGAATGAATGGCTATGTTTTTCATCTGAAGGACTGGAACAACAGGATGCACAAGAAGTGAACACACTGCAGTTGAGAAATTCATTAGCAGAGTTGCACAGCATTAGAAGGGATAGAAATGTAGCAAACTTAAATTAAAACTTCAGTTAAATCTAATGCAATGTTCATGACTCTATAAACTACTGCCTGCTATAGTCCCCGCATGCACCGAGGACAAAGGGTTTTGTCCACCCACCCTCTCCCCTCTAAACAATTACCCTGCCTGCCTGCCAGTTTCAACATGGAAGCCGAGCCAATCTGAGTCTAGCCTGTATTGGATGGGACATTGCCTGGGGTACTGCACGCATGGTCCCTTGGGTATCATAGGAGAAAGGTAGGATATTAACGTAATAAATAACATAATTCCAGATGTCTCAAGAAAGTGAATTAAGCTGCAGATGGGTACCTGGTGTGGGTGGGTGAACACAGACAATCTCAGATTAAAGGAGTGAACTACACAGAAGGTGATATGGCAGGAGCTGGGATCCTGTGCTCTTCCAGATGTAGCTGAACTCTAGCTCCCATTCACCTCAGTCAGCATGTCCAGTGTTCAGGGATGATGGGAGCAGTAGTCCAATGACATCCAGAGAGCTGCAGGCTCTCCAGCCCTGCAGTATTTTTATTTATAATGTATAATATGCTGTATTAATATCCACCTTCCCCTCTCACTTACAAAGAACCCAAAGTGGCTCACATGGTCCTTCTCTTTTTTATTTTATCTTCACAACAACCCTGTGATGTAGGTTAGGCTTAGAATCAGTGACTGGTTCAAAATCCCCCAATGATTTCCATGGCCAAGTAGAGACTAGAACCTGGATCTCCTGAGTCCCCGTCCCAAAGTCGAACCACTACATTTCCTCCGTATTTCATTCGCATAGGCAACCCACTGCTCTCACCTACCTTAGAGTACAACACCTTGGAAAGGACTTGTAAATCCATATAGTTCAACCCCAAGCTCAGTGTAAGAATCAGTTACATCAGCCTTCCCTAATCAGGGGTCCTCCAGATGCTTTGGCCTACAACTCCCATCATCTTCAACCATCATGGGTACTGGCCATACTGATGCCATCTGAACTGCAGCATCCTTAACACCTCCTGACCCCACTTAAATACCCCCAGTGGGGTGAGTACATCACCTTTTGAAGCCGAGCTGGCAAACCGGTTTTACCGTGGGACACATCTGCTCCATCACAGCTTATGCAGAAGCTGCCCAGTTTCTTTGCAAAGCTTTTGCTTTCCACTTCTTCCATCTTTAGTGCCCCACAACACTGGCAGCCTTCTGGGCCAGAAAGAGGCTCAAGGGGGGTTCCGTTCCTTCCCATCCAAACACAGCACGGTGGGCTGGCTGAGATAAAAAGAAATACAGATGCATTCATGTATTGACCACTGTAATGAACTGCCTTTGAACACAAAATGTTCTAAAGACAGTTTACATAAAATAAAAACCATGTTGATACACACAAATGCATGCACTAAAGCACGAGGAGGGGCTATGCAAATTTAGCAAATGAATGGATTGTACAAAATCAGACCGAGTTTTACTTATCTCTAAATATGGATCAGAGAAGGACATGGATAGATCTTTTGAGGGAGGGATGCATTCCAGAGCTGGGGCAACCCCATGGTTAGATGGATATCATATTTCCCTGAATAATGGCACTTGCTGGGAATGAAAAGGAAGGTTGTTATTGGTGCATGTGCCAGGGTCAGGCAGATTAGGACTTGCCAGATGAGGAGCAGGAGGGGCCCAGGGAAGAGGCACCCCCAGGTATCGAAATGGGGGAATCAGAGGGGCTGCCCTCTTCAGGTGTTCCAATGGGCTCAGGGAATAGCCAAGAGCTACGACTGATGGGAGGGGGCATGGGATGGGAAGGCCAGGAGCCAGCCAAGCCCTTTATGACTCTTGATCCCATGATGTGGCATTGGGAGAGAAGGGCTGGCCAACTAGAGAGGTGGCATACAGGCTTGTCTGCCTCCAAAAGGAGGGGGCCCGGGGTACTCAAAGAAAGATTCTTGGAAGTTGCTAGAGTGGGGTTGACAAACGCTCTGTGCATGCTCAGACACTCACTCCTTTGCTTATTGGATACACTTTGGAGAAGAAAGGGCTTGTGCAAAGGAACAACCTGTGTCCTTCTATGAATGAAGGGAGAACCTAGCACCCGACAGCACTGGGGCAGCATGTTGTTGCTGAACATTAACAGCATAGGAGGCGCATGCAGGAGAAGGTGGCTTTCAGGGCCAAAAGCAGCGCTGGGCCAGGAAACACATGGATCCGGTGCTGACATTTTAGAATGGATGGAAGATGTTCTTGCCCGCTCACACCTCCTGTTAACAAAGCATGCTGCCTTACTGGGGTGCTTCCGAGGGCAGCCCTGTTCAGGATACAGTGTGGAAGTCACCAAGCCATGAATGCGAGTAGAGAAGTGTGGGGAAACCGTTCGGTCAGTTCTGTTCAAAATGGATTTCTTCAAGCTGCATCAGCCAGAAATAGAGGTGGACCACGCACATTTTGTGTTCGGAGACCCATCGGGCTGTTTTGGGCTCTCTCTCTCTTTTGTCTCTTCTAGTGGTTTCCCCCCGCTCCAAAATTTTCTCTGCCTCTGTAAAGCATGGTTTTTCTCAGGCATGCTGATACCTCCTCCATTTTGGTTGTGATCCTGTTGATACTTTTCAGATGAGTTTGCTTTTAGAGGGAGGGATTGAGCAGTGCTCACACTCTAAAGAAAGGACTAGAAGTCTGTGTCTTCTTCTGGGGAGTTGTCAGAATGGTGATTGGGTGTTCACTCAGTATTAACATCTGGTATCCAGTTGCTAAATTGGTAAAAATGAAGTCAGGGCTTGATGAATGATGGAAACTTTCCACTTTCCCATTGCAGACCCTGCTCTGCTTTGAACTGGAATGAAACTCAGCAGGGGATGATGAGAAGCCATGGACTGGAGTGATGCAATCAATGGTTCCTTTATGTAGTGCCTCACATCTAGGCAAGCCAGCCAACTTCAACACCGAGGCGAAGCATATTTGTCAGACATAAAGGACAGAGCAAAGGTCTTGATTCTCCAAGACAGCCAATTTATTGAAACAGATGGATTGAAAGGCACCTAGTTGTAGGCTAATGTACTCACCACAGCTTGAGTACAGCTTAATGCAGTCTCACACAGGCTCCAAGGGGGCTCAAAAATCACACAAAGGAATTGTCCTGACCATGATGGCCCACTCTTGTAATGCAAGTCTAAGAGTGACTTAAAGTGCAATCCTATGGCTGTTTAGACAGAAAAAGCCACACAACTCCCAGCATTTCCCAAGCACCACTTCTGGCTTAGGATTGTACCCCCAGACAGTGAATTTCTTTGCCAGGCCAACCCTGCAATAAACAAAAAACTGTGCACGCTCCTGAGCTCTCTGGAGATTCTTCATCAGGCTAGATGGTCAACAAAGGGCAAAGCAGGGGAAGACAGAAGAGGCTGATGTTCAGACATGGAGGTGCATTTGGGTAGCCTTAAAGTGGAGAATAGGAGGAGATGGCAGACATTCAAACTGGGGTTTACTAGGTACTGAAATGATTTCAGGCTGTTTCCTCCTCCCAGTAACCCTTGGGAGAGTTCCAGGTGCAGCCTGAAACCATCTTGCTTTGGACTTTTCAAAAGCTTGCAGAATACTTTGTGGCCTTTGAGCTGGACTAATAAAGGTGTTACTCTAATACAGATCTATTTTCCCAGGGCAAAATCTACCTTCGTTTTTAATCAATCTGCTTGTAAAGACTCAGGCCGGGGTTTCAGGACCTTGGATAGCTCAAAGTGGAAAACCCGCTCGGTTGTGCTCTGGCATTGGACTGAGACCTTTCCTGCCTCCTGCACTTACTAGGCTTCACCTTTCCTGCTCTGTCCCAAAGCCTAAACCTCTTGTCACCTCTTTGCCACCTGTCTCCGCCTTCCGTGTTGCCTGCACCAATGACCAGGTGCTGTTTACCCTTGGGGTCAATAGAACCAGTGACTCAGGGGAATCTGGTTAAGGGGGCTTAGTTTGGAGGTCTCAAGGGGTTCCTAGCTGCCTGACTCCATTCTGACGGCAGGACCTGTGACTGGATTCAGCACACCTGCCACTTACTCCACCGGTCTTCCTGACCCGGCTGATTCCTCCTCCTCCTGTGCTACAGTGCCGACAGCTGCTCTGGGTCAGTGCCTTGACGGGTATGATCTGTCACAGCCAGGGCTGGTCCAACAGGTTTTGTGTTCAAGGCAAAGCTAGGATGGCACCCTGATGACAAGAGACCTCCCAGCACCTCTGAAGGCAGCAATTAAGGGAATATAAGACAGGGTCCCTTTGTCGCTTGCCTCCCTGCCCTTCTGGTGAGCAGATGCTGCCAGAGGCAGAAAGCCCTTTCCGCCAATGCCAGGGCTGGCTTTGCTAATGCTCTGTGTGGGGTGCACAACAGGGACTGGCAGTTGTGATGGAACTTACCTGGCATGCAGCAGTGGGTGGGTTGAGGGGCAGTGCCAGTGCCAGGCCTTTGAGGGTCCTTGAGCAAGACACCGCCAGTGAGTTGGCCTTCTCACCACCATCGCCACCAGCCACTCTCGTTCCTTATCCTGTTTCTCACCCATCCTCCTGCTTGCTTACTTGGCAGGCAGAAAGCCAGGGAGTGGGTTGGCTGCAGCATCTGCTGCCCTCTGGGCCAAAGTGAGTGGCGGGGAACAAGCAGGCTGCAGTGGTGAAAAGGGGGATCCTGAGGGGCTCCATCAGCAGGCCCGGTTGGGGTGTGGGGCTCTGGCAGGTGAGTGATCATGTAGTGCTGATGATGGCCCTGGTGGGGGCCTGGAGCTTCATTGAAGAACCTAGGTGAGCATCTGGACCCCCGACTGGGCTGAGGAGAAGCAGCTGGGGGAGAGTATACGGGAAATCAGAGGGCAGGGACGGATGAAACCTTGTTCTTCTACATGCTATTACTTCCCAATGCCACTTCGCAGTGGAGGCGCACAGGCCAGGTGGTTGGAGACACGAGTGACTAATGCTGACCTTTGTTCTTAGTTTCTCAGATATCAAGAATTAAAATTTGCCCATTTTTAGGAAGCAGCAGGAAGCTTTTAAAGACAGTGGGTATGTGTGTGACAAGTCTGAT